AGGTGATAGCAAATTTACAAAGTGTCTGGAGTCTGTGAGAACTAAAACAGTCAAACCAATATTTTCCTCTGTTATTCCTAAAAAAATGAATATTTAAACTCACTGTTGAAAAACCTTTTGAAGAGGTTAGAGAGCACAATTCATTATGATCTAATTCAAGTTTTTTTTTTCATTTTTTAAATGCAACTTAGAATATTTTGCAATTTTGTGTATATATACAAGTGAAGTAAAGACTGAGATTATTATCTAAATAAACCAGGCTTATATGTTTTCCTAACAAAAGAAACATTTGGTCAGAGTTATAAAGAATTACTTCAAGTTTGCCAATCAAGCAGAGGCCCTAAGTAACCTCAGGGTCAGTTTTCTTTTTAACACCTATTAAACAGCAATCCCAAATTTATAAAGTAACACTGTGAAAAAAAAAGTACTTATCACTACAACTGTGATAATGGGTGTGTCCTCAAGTGACAAAGGTGATAATGTGAGCAATGTCCTTCATCACTGAAATGAACAATACTTTTAAAAATTAACCATGATTTCTAGGATATGCTTGATCAAAGAAACAAAATAGCGTCTAAACTGTAAATAGCGACTTCACTCTTCTGGTTGACTTAATAATGAACCTGATAGTAAAACATGAAATAGTGGTTTTATTTTATATTTTGAAAAATAACTAATTTTTTAAACTTCTAAGCTATCTTGTTTCAAGCATTCTTATGTCAGGAGTCACAACAGGAAGAAAGGTATAGATGCCATCAAATTAAATTACCAGAAAACCTTCCTCTATTTTACTTTATTTAATGTGACATATAAAGAAAACCCTGCACAAATATCTGTCTTTAATTTCTCTAGTTTAAAAAAAGAAATATATTGTGTGTGGCAGAATGAAACAGTTGAAATAGCCTAGGTGCATTTAAGGGCTGGGGGTTGGGAGAAGAAATTGGATGCTTATAATGAGCCTTCAAAGCCACTCCAGCAGTAGGGATAAATAATTTAATAAACTCAACTTCATATTCTTCTTCTCTCCCCAGAGCAATAAGCACATATTAAAAAATAAAACTTTAAATTCATGAATATCTGTGAATAAACTAGCAGCCAGCAAATGAGGAAAACAAAACAAAACAATATCTACATGAGCACCTAATATGTGTGCATATACTCTAACAGATACGTTTTGAAAGATCAGAATTGCTAAAATTTGTGAACATGCAATTCTACTTTAGTTTTTCAGAAAACACAAAAATCTTTCTTTCTTCCATTTCTTAAGATACAGTTTTTCCTAAACCTAGCAAAGAGACTGTTTATGTATTACTTTGTGAGTTCAATATAAGTAAGTAGCTCTGCCTAAAAGGTAAGCTACTTAGGAAATAGTACTTCAGGACAAGTGCTTTTGCCACTGTTATTTGAATGCTATGAAGTATTAAACACAGCAATATTCATTTACTTTATTCAGTACTGTTAATATTTATGAAAATGATATCCCTGTGTCTTTATGAGATTTTTTTTCAAAGTGTACATTTTAAATCAAGGATGCTTCCTGCACTATAAAAATAAAACAGAAAGGTCAATTTAAAATCTCAAGTATCATTCAAATATAAGCACTGCAATCATTAAATCATGAGATTCTTGGGGTATTGTTCCCCTCAATTAGATCAGTTTTCTTCAATTATGATTCTATTATTAGCTCATGTCAAAGAAGCCTCAATGAATACCATTGAAAACAATTAACCATTCATATCTTAATGTATGAGACACACACAAGCTTTTATTTTAGTAGTACTAAAATTATATTCATATAAGACTGATACAAGTAGGGTTCTTTTGTAAACTTTTCATATAATAAAAATGGATTTTAAGTCATCTGTATATTACTTCATCATTTGAAATAACTAGCTCAATATATCAATTTTTAAAAAAATTAGTCAAATATAGCATTCCCACAAAACAAAAATGCAGATCTTCAAAATCTTGGGTGAAAATCAGTTAAATTACAGAAAAATATACTATTATTTTTAATTCTTCATAGATATAAGTGACTTCAATTAAAAAATGGAAGGGTGGAAGACTGTCTTCAGCACAGTTTATTCTCTTCAACGAGGGGTGTTAAGATCGTGGAAAAGATTCAGCTAAGGAAGGTAATTCTTTTCACGTGTTCAGTGTAATAGAAAATCGCTGTGTTGCAGCAACAAGCACTACTTGCACTTGGGTATTATTCTAGGGCGCCCAGTTCACCCACAGTGATAACAGCGGCCCAGGGAATACTGTTATGTAAATCACTGTCAGCGCAGCGGGTGAGGGGTAACTTAAAGAAACAGCTCTGAAAACCCGATCCTGGCATCCTTGAAACCCAATGACTTCCCCGGAATTCTACTAGGACTAACGGGTTTCTCGGTCTTTTTCTTACAATCTATTTTTCTTTCTCAAAGTGCAAATCGTTAGTGAAAAGGCCCGGCTGCACCAATTAGTTTGCACAAAGTGCTTCAGTGTTTAGCTTCCCTTTAACCCAATTAAGCGGCAAAGAGAGCCTCGAAGATGGGCCACCTGCGCGCCTGGCTGCGGCGAGGCCGTGCCGGAGCCCCTCGTGGCCCGCGCGCATCCTTTCGGTCAGACCCCGAGCAGCCTGGGGCATCAGCGTCTTTGGCTGCTTCACGTTCGCCGCACACGGGAGGGGAGGTCTGCAGATGGCCAGAGAGCACAGGGTTGAGGGCTCCCAGCAAGCATCTCTGGCCTACACTTTGTGGAGAGGCACTGGGCGTGAAGAGCCAGCGCGCGGTTAGGAGAAAGCGCCTGGTTCAGTTGTGACTAATGGAAGCCCAGAGGACCGCCGGGACTGTGGGGTGCATATGCACAGAGGGTGGAGTGAAGCTGCTGATAAGAGAGCCTGAACACCAAAAAAGGTTTTAAAATAACCTACATGCACAAATAAAACGTGCGGAACGGTGAGCAGAAAAAGGAGAGCAAGAGGGCCCCTGCAGGGCGGAGTAGTGGACAAAGGTGTTGAGCGGAACGCACTGGACCCGCGCTGGGTGAGACAGAGGTGTCCTTTCCCCAGAGACCCCCGCAAAGCTTCGCCTCTGCCTGCCTAGGGCCCATTTGCCCGTTTTCCTTCTCTTCCAGCTGCCAAAAGGTAGCAGAGCATTCACTTGCAACGCCAGCAAAGTGGGGAGGAGCTTTTCGGGTTCTCAGTCCCTGCTCCTAAGGGAAATGAAGTGTCTTGAAGGAAGGAGTAGACGGATGCCATGAGCCCCAAATGTAATGTACTATTTTAATCTAAATCAGAATCTATCACTTGGGGATAAGGACAAAGTAAATTGTAGGTGGCTTCGTGATGCTCTACCTGTGTTCCTCCCAAGTAAAACAAAAGCTAGGGTTAAAAGCAGGAGCTCTCAACATCTTGTTCAGAGTGTCTCTGAAGGAAGTGCCTACAAAACTGGTACCTGGAGTTAAAGGTAGTGAATTTTGAATCTGTGTAGCTTTTAAAGACACTAGTATTTCTTTAGTTTCTATACATTGAGGATAGACCTGGTGCCGCAGCAAAAAAAAAAAAAAAAACAAAAAAAAAAAGTTCTACATAAACCATTCCCTTGTGTTAAGATTCTAGAATTTAGATATAATTTATTTCAAACTTCCTGTAATCCAAAATGTCCTGATAACTGCAAATTACTTTTCTTGGAAATTATTAACAATTTCCCTTATATCATGTAATATATATATATATATATATATATATATATATATATATATATATTTAGAAGTGTACTGTCAGGTCACTCTAAGTACATTCAAGGTAGGTGAAATATTCCTAACATACATTTGTAAACAAGTCAGAAAACTCAAATTTTTCTGTATCATCTGTTAGTGGGTCTGGTGTCTACCATTTCTCTTGAATTTCAAATCTTAAAATACAGTTCACTACACAGTCATAGTAAAATAATCTTTTGATCCCAGAAATAACTTATTTTATAAATATTTCCACCAGAAAATATCCAGCTTGGCGCCCTGCTTTTTAATGGGAGCAAGGCTGCCAATGTGCAGAGACTGCACACAGGAGGCGTACCAATCTTAAAACATTCAGCTTAAATTGGGTAGATAACATCGACCACATTCAGCAATAATTTCCAGTTTCCTCTCAAATGCAAGTAAGGAGAACACATGACTTGCTTAAGGTTTTAAAATCATTCTAACATACAGGAACTTGAGAAAATTATTCAAGTATTATTATATCTACCATGGACAGGTAGTTTGTGCATAAAAAGGTGAACTTTTAACCCAAATTTTAAAAAGACCCAAAGGATTAAGGGACATTAATTATCTTACTTTAAATGCAAGTTGGTGACTTTGTTTTAGAAAGCTCCATCTAGTTCACTAATTGACTGATGACCACCAATACACCTGTATTTGCATTTCGGTGGTAAAAAAGACAAGGAAGTGTTTTCAGCAAGAGGGCCACTTTGCCAAGTCTTTTCAAAATGTCAATATGCTTCAAGTAATACCAAAGCTGAGAGACTCCTCTTCATTTCCAAACTGCCTAGGTGGCCTGAGCAGCGTCTGCCGGCAGCAGCCCTCTACCTTTCATTTGTGTGCCTATATCCATAAGGGGGGATTAATTAGCCGGGCTGGAGCTGAAGGAGGCTGTCGTGACGAGCCCAGTGGCGATTGGCCGCCTGCCTGCCTGGCCCTGCCTTTATAATTTCCACGCGAGTGATTCTGGGCTCTTAGACAAACCAACACCAGCTTCTTCTGACATATACACACGCACACTCACCCCGACGCACACTCACACTTTTCTTCCATCTGATTAACAGTCCTGCACACACAATGATCGCAGGAAAGCGTAAATAAATACGGAAAGGGGTGATTATTTTGACTACTGGAAGAGCCTTGCAGAGTCTCAGCGCAACTTTTGTTTTTATTACTGAGAAGGTGATTTCTCCATGCATTTCTTTCACACAAGGATTCTTTAAAAGAGGAAGCAAGAGAGGGGGGAGGACAATCTTTCACTTTATGACCGGCTGGGCTCAAAGATAAAAGGAAGGAGAAAGCGGCGGCAGCGGGGAAGTCACCGCTGCAGCAGTTCGGAAAGACACTTTTGATACATTTCTGAGCGCTGCGGCCCGATTCTCCACCGAAGTTGGCTCCAGCTCTAGCAGCCGCATTGGATCCCACAGCTTACTGCGAGACTCCGGTGTACAATCCGGATCTCTGCCCCAACATGATCGCGGCTCAGGCCAAGCTGGTTTACCATCTGAATAAGTACTACAATGAAAAATGCCAAGCCAGGAAAGCTGCCATTGCCAAAACTATCCGGGAAGTCTGCAAAGTAGTTTCCGATGTGCTGAAGGAAGTGGAAGTGCAGGAACCCCGGTTCATCAGCTCTCTCAACGAGATGGACAATCGCTACGAGGGTCTCGAAGTCATCTCTCCCACCGAGTTTGAAGTGGTGCTTTATCTTAACCAAATGGGGGTGTTCAACTTCGTGGACGACGGCTCGCTGCCGGGCTGCGCGGTGCTGAAGTTGAGCGACGGGCGCAAGAGAAGCATGTCTCTCTGGGTGGAATTCATTACTGCCTCTGGCTACCTCTCGGCGCGCAAAATCCGGTCCAGGTTTCAGACGCTAGTGGCTCAAGCAGTGGATAAATGTAGCTACAGGGATGTGGTAAAGATGGTCGCTGACACCAGCGAAGTGAAACTGAGAATCCGAGATAGGTACGTGGTGCAGATCACCCCGGCTTTTAAATGCACCGGGATCTGGCCAAGGAGTGCTGCCCACTGGCCACTTCCCCACATCCCCTGGCCAGGACCCAACCGAGTGGCAGAGGTCAAAGCGGAAGGTTTCAATCTCTTGTCCAAGGAGTGCCACTCCCTGGCCGGCAAGCAGAGCTCTGCTGAGAGTGACGCCTGGGTGCTGCAGTTCGCAGAAGCAGAGAATAGACTGCAGATGGGGGGCTGCAGAAAGAAATGCCTCTCCATTCTCAAAACCTTGCGGGATCGTCACCTGGAGCTGCCGGGGCAGCCCCTGAACAATTACCACATGAAGACTTTGGTTTCCTACGAGTGTGAAAAGCATCCCCGGGAGTCGGACTGGGACGAATCTTGCCTGGGTGATCGGCTGAACGGGATTTTGCTGCAACTCATCTCCTGCCTGCAGTGCCGGCGGTGTCCCCACTATTTCCTACCAAACTTAGATCTGTTTCAAGGCAAACCTCACTCAGCTCTGGAAAATGCTGCAAAACAAACGTGGCGACTGGCAAGAGAGATCCTGACCAACCCTAAAAGTTTGGAAAAACTTTAAAGGATGATCTAGTTAAGAGCCGGAATAATTTCTCTTCTCAAAGTCCTACATAAATGAAAACTTACTGTTCGATTTCTAATATCCCACTAGACAGTGCAAATGATCTCCTCCTTAAAAAGGAGTAATATAATGTTTAGGCATCATCTCACCCACCCCTCCAAGGGGAGAAAAAGAAAAATGGAACGTGATGGAGAAAAACCCAAACCTGCAAGGTATTAGTGAAAAGTACACAACAACACTGGGAACACAGCCTGACATAATGGTAATGCAAGACCTTGGGAACATTCTGCCTATCAGAGGATTATAGCAATCCTTGTGATTTAGGTGCATCTGTCTGTGAGTAAACAACATTTGGATATGTCATCTGAAGGGAAGTGTAATGTATATTTTGATGTGTAACAAATATTGTGATCTCACATTGTCTTTGAAAGTGTGGATGTTGGTGTTTTGTGATTTGGTGAACAGAACTTAAATTGCCATTTTGGAGACTTCCAGACATTTTCCACTAACAAAGATACCACTGCAAGGTAGATTTCCTCTGGTACTTTTCTCTGTCTTTGAAAGTGTCTGAACTTTAAAAAGTTTACATTTTGTTTCAAATATATTGCTTGTTCTATTTCTAACATTCCATAAATATACTTGAAATGTTATTTAAATATATTCAAAGAAATTTGAATTCAGCTTATATAATTACGCTTGAATATCTGAATTATATATTTGAAAAATGCACTTGAAATACACTGGATAATTACTTTTGTGATTTAGATTTTAATTTCTGTTGCTGGTTTTTATTTAATTAGAAGCAAATAAATGAAGTAAACTACAAGTCGTGTCTGACTTTAAATTGTTTTTCTATCAAAAGATGGGATTCTTCAGTTTGAAGATATACTGCACTTAAATGTGTTAAACATTATGAAGAATATGCTAATGAAACAAACCTTAAAATATCTAAATGCTCTTTTTATACAGCTATATAGCTGTATAAAAAGAGCTATAGAAGTGAGCCATCTTACTTACTTAGTCTTACTTGTAAGACTTCCTTTCTGCAACCAACACAGCTTAAATTTACCTGTGAAAGTTTGCTCTTCTGGTATTTCTGCAGCATTTTTATTTATTTATTTATTTATTTATTTATTTATTTTTTGTGGAACCGGGGATTGAACTCAGATCCTTGCGCTTGCCAGGGAAGCACTTATTCCACTGAGCCATCTCCCCAGCCCCGACTGCAGCATTTTTGATAACTGGAAAAAATGTATCATTATGGTATAAACAACTGAGTTAGAAATCTGACTAATTAAAGTCATACTAAAATTTTTAACTGTATATGTTAAAATTGAGCTTATTATTTCTGACCAATATATTTTATGACAAATGTTATCTTATACAGTAAGGATTCTATCAGTAGAATAAATGATAAAACCAAAATTTCTTATTTCATAGGGTAAACTCATGATAAAACATATAGGCAGACTTTTGATTATTTAAAATTAAGCACCTCAAGCCCATTTAAGAAAAAAATCCCTGCTTTTGGAGCTAAAAGTGAAAGAAGTGTTTTGGAGTATTTTAATAGTCAACAAGTGCTGAAAGGACTGGTCAGTGAGTTAGTTCAGGTGGCAGTAACTTTGGACTCTTGATTACTTTTCTATAATACTTTATTTGTCCATACAAATTAAATATATACAATAAAATTTTGGGTCTGTGGACATATTTGACTGTTTTTGAATGTCTGCCTCTGAAAACATGTTAAAGAAAGATCTTTGCAAAATGATACTAGAAATATCTAGTATGACAATGATCTTGAATTTTTATCTCAGGAGAAAAGTTTACAAATTGTATAATAACATTAAAGTTAGAACATTAACATGGAACTCAGAAGACAATTTTGAGGTGTAGAGATGCTCTAATAGTCAGATGATTAAAAGCTATAAGATAACAAAAAGTCTATATGATATATTAAATATTTGTTCATTCCATATGGTCCAAATATGTATTTTATGGCACTACAATTTACAGAAGCAATCAACCTTTAAATATCTGATAGTTAATATGTACATTTAAAATCAAAGCACTGGAAAATCAGTTTCTTAGATGAACAATGTATGTGATAGTAATTGGGAGGTGAAATTGTATCTAAATATTCTTACCCCAGATTCCTTATAACCTTTCAATAAATAATGCACATGGCAAGCCATACTTTTCAAAATTAAAAACAATCTTAATAAAAAATATCTCAAAATCTTTCCTAGTCTTCCTGAGAAACTGAGATGCCGCAGGACAGGGACTTGGGATAATTGGATCAACTACCAAATCTGACCAAATTCACACAAAGGCAAAGAAAAGCTTTGAAAATGCTCTGGCAATACAGAACATAAACTCATTAATATACTCTTCAGGTCCATAAAAGAGAGCATATACTATTTTATTCATTTTATTTTCGATAAGAAATAATTACTCCTCCCTCACTGTCATTTAAAACTAAGCAAATTGAAAACCACTTCCTGCCACAAAGCCACCAATACCATACACCAAGGAATTACTTTAACTCACTTTTGTGTCGATCTTCTTGAAGGCAGAATCGTCCTCATCTACCTCGAAGTAGATTTCTGTCGTGGTGATGGAGAGAGTCCCCTTGGCCACCACCACAGGAGCCACGAGTTGGGCTGGGGTGCTGAGTACCACTGGGCCTGCAAGTCAAAGGCACTGAGTCAGGCTGAACACCCACTTCCCTCGTGTAATCCCGCTCCCTCCCAGAAGGTACCACAAGATTTCATTTTTAAGGATGTGCCAAAAAAAAAAAAAAAAAAAAGTGTGTATGTTATTCCGGAAGGTCTTTCATTTAGGCAAGGACTACCTAGGTTTTATACAGTACTTTATTAACAAGATTAGAGATAAACAGCTCTATACAACACTAAGGGAACACGGTACGGGAGCTTATGAGTTTTCTTTTCTTTTCTTTTTCTTTTTTATCTTTTTTTCTTTTTGTCTCTGCTTAGAAATCCTACCATGGTTGGCGAAGCGCTGCTCTTACTATCTTAAAAGTACAGAACGAATTCCGTAAGGTTGGATTCGCCATTGAGCATCACTGGCTTTCCAAGAGACCTTAGCAGTCACACAGTCTCCAAAAACCAACCACCTCCTAAAGCCAGCCCACCCTACAGAGGCACTACCCAAGGAGACCCGAGAAAAGGTGACTAAAAAAGGACCTAAATATATAAAGTTCACCCTTAGAATATTGCAAGAACATTATTTTAATATCAATGTTCTCAGACGCGACCCATATTGATGTATACACGGACATTAAAGTTCTGAAGAAATGAACGAAAATCTCAGCAGTCATTTACTAACAGAATCGGTCAAAAGTGATGTAAATGTAGGATACTTAAACAGGAATGGTTCTCAGAAAAAGGTCTCCATATAGTGTTTCCTAATTTGAAACTCGGGGAAACGGAGCTTTAGGAAAGGTGTTTAGAAAGTGTGCCTACTGGGGTGCTTACTTCAAATTCCCTCAATTTGAATTCCATGTCTTTGAATATTGGTTCAAAGCGTCATTACTTAAATACGCTCTTTAAACACCCCAAAGAAGAGTTATCCTTGGTTATCCTGGTCTTAACACACAACAGGAAATCAGAAATAACGCCCCCCCCTTATTTTTTATCCAAGGGCGCATCAGAATTCCGGCAGGAATTGCTCTCCTCAAAAGCGTGTGGGCAAAAGGTCACAATAACAGTAGGATAAAGGCAGTAAGAAGCCAGCTCCCCGCGGTCACGCAGGCCCTGGCCCACCGAGCCGAAACCCGCCTCGCAGCCACAGCTTCTGCGGGGCGCGGGCGACGTGGCTGCGGCGAGGCTCGCGTTCTCGGGGAGCAGAACGCGTCGGGCCGCCGCTGCCCTGCACAAAGCCTGGCCATTCCTGTCGCCAGAGTTACAGGCAGGGCTCGGCCGGCTTCGGGCTTG